ACGTCGCGCAAATACTTATGATTAATATCGTGCCCCATGCTAAAGTTTACTAAAAAGAGCCAAGAGAAGCAATAAAAGTGAACTACTGTTTAATCCAATTATTATTTATTACTGAGTGCTGCCAAGGAAAACTTGTAAAGGTTTTCACAATACCGGACATCTGAAGCATTGCGATATTATGTAATTTGATTGTTGTACGATTAATGCTCTGCACACTTGTAATTCATTCAAAAATATTATAGAAATTATTAGAATACTAATTACAATCTGTTTAAATTTCGTAATACATATTAAAGCAAGTTTAGGCCTGTTGTAGTGAAATTTAAACGTATGCTCACAGGTTTTCTCTTGATAACATTCACATAATGAATGTTTACACCTACAATTATTTGGCAATGAAAATTTATAGTGCTTTTTTATAAATTTGGAATACTTCATATTCTTCTACTAAAAAATATGAACATTTAGACTCATATGTAGATTCCTCTCTAAGTAGTTTGTCATAATTTGAGCTTCTGTAGCAATAACATCTATTATTATTATTGATATTATACATATAAATGCTATAAAGAAAGACAGGTCCACGATTAATACTACAATGAATTGCATTCTTTCCGGTTTTCACACGACTTAAAATAGAATTTTGAACAGTGCAATTCTTCAATGAAAAAGTAAAGCATTCATCACATTTTTTAAAATCATTGAGTGATTTATCCCATCCAATTGGATTATATCCACCAAGAATTTCATCAGTGTCTTTAACTTTTATGACAACGACCAAATTTTCCTGCTTATCGCATAATTTCCAAAATGACTCACGAGTAAATCCATCTCTGCTTCCACGAAAAAGTAATTTAAATTCATATGGATAATTTGATATAGAATAAGTATCATCCTTTTTATCAATCCATGAAGCAATTTCAGCTGCATGTGTTTCATTAATAACATTCGAAAACGGTTCTGTTGATCTGCGTGGTAACTCTGTTGTTAAAATCACACGAGGTGGAAGAATTACAGATGATATTGCTTCATTTGGTGCCATAAATTTTTTAACTAAATCTTTCCAAAGATTTTTTTCAAGGATTTGTTGATATGGTTGAACATGCTTGTAAATATCTCCACCAGAGATTTGAAAATAACGAATAAGAGGCAAACAATTATTTAGAGTAGTTTTTAAATTTAAAAAATTTTCATTTGACCAGTCTTCATGATTGGAAGGTAAACCAGGATTCTGTGCGATACCCCATTTGATAATATAATTCCAAATCTTAACTTCTTCCATTTGTAAATCGTCACGTTCAATCAATGAAATTAAAGAATTTTCTTGAATAGATGTAAAATCTTCGGATTCAAAAACCTTGTTCGGATACTTTACTAAAATATCGTTACACCATTTTTGTAACTTTAAAAGTTTATTGTTCTGAAAACTTTCTTGATAGATGCGAGCAAATTGTAGGCGAAGCCAATGAGCATTTGATTCAATTAAAAGATTTTCAAGATATTTAGCCAACTCTTCAAGAATAAGTTCCCATGCAACAAGCATTAATTCATAAATAAATGATGTTTCAAGATTTTCCAATAAAACTATTCCTCCATAAATATATCTATATATTGAATTTATCAAAAAAATGGTAGCATTATTTTTTAGTTTAAAATACATTATATATATTAAAGTAATGTGTAACTTACTTGATAATAATTTCAAATTGTTGTATAGAAATATTTTTTAAACTAATCGTTTTAATATTATTTTTATCTTTGCCTGCAGTTTTTAATTCATTACGAAAATATAAAGATCGATGTTTCAAAATAGTTGAATGAGCTTGGAATATTTTAGCGTTTGAAGGATCTCCGATTTTAATAATTACATTAAAGTCTTCTTCATCTTCAAGAAGTTCAAGGTAATTACTTGAAAGTTTTTCAAAAAATTTTGCTGCCATTTAGTTTAAAGGTTATCTAGATTTGTAGATAGGTGTACGAATAAAAGCAGTGAAGTGGTAATACAATAAGAATATGCTGTAACGTTTTATTTATCCAAATTGGATTATCACATGTATCAGTGCAGTACAGTACTCTAGGATAGAATAATTAAATTTAAATATTAAAATACAATTAAAATAAAACATTCAATGACACAATTAAAATAAACCATTCAATAACAAGAATTAAAATAATAAATGACTAAATTTTATTTTTATGAGCTAAAAAAAATTTTTTTTAAAAAATTTCAAATAAATACTTATTAAATTAAAATTCCAAATATAAATGGTTGGTTTTTTTTTATAAGAAAATGATACTTTAAAGTTTAAGTTTCAATATTATCTGGCTGCTTCTAACGGTGCTCAGATATGAACTAGTCTCAAGATTGAGAACTGAAAGCTAATTACTCAGCCTATGTAACCAATTGGCTACTACTACTATTTATACCGGATTGTCTATGTCCCACACATAATTTGAAAATATCACGAAGGCAAATTTAAAAACAAGAATACCAATTAAAATATTGGAAATTTTTTTATCTTCACAAAAAACCATTATATTATTTCTTATATAATGTCTTTATACATATTATTCATATCATTCGTTATACAAATTGGTAACGTATAAACTCAAAATAAAATAACATGTGTTAACTCCCAAGTGTGTCCGAATTAAAGATGCATCCCCTCTATAAAAAATAAATATACAAGAACTGGATTTGGTACTAAGTAAACCTGCAAAAGCAAATGATTATAAAATCCAGTTCAGAAGCACTTTTTATTTCTTTACTATACTTATTTATAATTAAGGAACGTTTATTTATTCTATATTTCTAAATAACGCACATTGACGTACTCGAAATAACGCGCTTATGAGTTGCACAAGTGAAATTGAGTAAAAAAAACCAGTACGTACATATACGTATATATATATGTTGTGCATCAAACTCAGTATCTAAGTTTAAATTTGACGTACAACATATATAAAAATAAAAAAATAGGTTTTTAATTAATTATCATTTGAATACGAATAACAAGTTGTAAAACAGAAAACCCGTAAATAACTACCTGTTTGGCTTCTAGATAAAAATTTTTATTTCGAATTTCCCTATAAAAAAGGGTTATTTTGTTTTTATCAAAGTAATACATTCTTAACGTATAATTTTTATGCCTATAGTGACTTCTTTCCAAACATTCTTTGAATAATACCAAAAAAAAACTGAATGAAACCAGGTAAACTTTTTTTATAGGTATAGTTATATACGTATGTGCCTTTAAAATCAAAGTAGCTAAAGGCCTGTATTATGATGTCTATGTTTTTTTGACTTGACCGACATAATCTGGTACAGAAAACCGACGTGTAATGAATTTACTGTATCTGAAGATTTGTTCAGTTTTTCTAAAATGACAATTAACAAAGATAAATGCAAAAGTGGTATATTTTTATTTCATAATTTATATTATGCATCATTATGATAATAAATCTTCGGTTATAAGTAATAATCATTAGGGGGATCGATCTTGCTTAAAGTAACAATTCATGTAGATCTTAAAGAAAGACAAAATATTATGTACGTACAAATAAGACAATAACTTTTAACTACGTACGTACGTACGTATAAGATCATTATGTAAAAGTATACGTAATCAATATAATAATGGATAGAGCTAATAAACAAATATAGTAATAAATTTTATTACGTACAAACATTTAATACGTACCAGGTTTAAAACAAGGACGCAAGCTTCAAACCAAATGCATTTATTTTTCACATGTACATCGAACTCTGATCATAGTACAAAATTAGATGTTCACGTTTCCAAGCCCATGTGGTTGCTTATATATTGTAGAGCCAAGCAATATGTTTATACTCCTGATTCGTACAATTACAAAAATAACAATTCTATTATATCTCTTGATGTTAACCTGGAGGATTCCAAAGTTGGTAAATAATTTCAAAGCATAAAATTTTTTCAGTTTGAGCAAATCGAAAAAATATACTGTATGTAAAGAAAAAAAAAAGTGTACGTATGCTTAATATTTAATCTTACAACTCTTACAACTCCTTTGAACAGTTAATCTTTTAAGGAATGAAGTTATCTAATTCAGTAATTATAAACAGAAGATTTTTGATCAAAGTGTAGGAATTGACGTATATATTTAAATGACATTAAAGAAAATTTTTTCATTAATTTAGGTAAAGTGTAATTACTTAAATTAGCGATACAGTAATTATATTATTATCTGTGATAATCATTTATATCTCATCTATATATTTCCCAAATTGTTAAAGTAATTATAGCAATCATGTAACACTCATTGTCATGCATTGTGTTAGGATTGGCAAATCATACGTATATATATATATACCTTGATTTCCTTAAATAATTTCGAACGGCTAAGAAATTAACAGTTAAGGACTGACAAATCATATGTATACGTGGCATATAATCGTATCTATTATACTAAAAATTAGCCACAATTAATAGCATACGTATGAGAGTTGTATGTACGTACGTAAAAGAAAACTTGGCCTGATTTGTGGCTTTTCAAATTGATATTGATATGGTAATTAGATTAAATTAATTCCCGATCACTATATCAAGAAACAGTCTGGTTTTCCTAAAGCATTCATATAAATAATGCGTACAAACTATCGTTTTACATTTCACATGATAAAATTCAACATTGATTATTTGAGGGGATATAAGGAGTACATACATTCGTATGGTAATAATAAAGCAGGTGCTTTGAATTTTCATAACCATAATAGGGAGGTTAGGGTTAGTTTTTTGATGTAATTAAGGTTATTGTTTTATAAAGATATCAAGAACGCAATTTATGCAATTTGTAGATCATTATGTCTTTAACGGACCCCCATAATAGGCATCATGTACCATGCACCAGATGTGTAACGCTTCCATTTGTACTACGTTTTACAATTTTTAAGAACGATAGCGATAGTTAATGCAGCGATAAAACCGTGTGTTGAAAAATTTTTATATTTTTATTCTTATGCAATGTCATCTACAGGTGCTGATTTCGAACCTGTTAAAGAAGTTATTTCTGAAAATACAAATATGTCTGACATAACTGACATAACAGAGGTTAAGCAAGCTGTTGACAGCATGACCTCGAAAGCTTGCGATGTTGACTTTTCAGGTATTTCATTATCGATATTTAAAATTTCTAAGTTTTATATATACTGTTTCATAATAGTTTCATGATATAATTTTTTTAAAAAAGATTTCTTTCAAGTAGAATTAATTTAATAATCTTAATAATAATAATAATACTCAACTTTTATCTAGAAATGACAATTCATCAAGCATCTCGACAAGGAATTCTGCATATTGTAAAAACTATGATCGAAAATGGTTACGCTAAAGCTACGGATAGAGACACTGATAACGTGACTCCGTTACATTTTGCCGTCATCAATAATCATGTAACTGTTGCAAAATATTTGATTGATAATGGTGCTGAAATAGATGCTTACGGTGGCGATTTGATCGCTACTCCGTTGCATTGGGCATCAAGGTATGTATGAATGCGTTTTTTTGTCTGTATCTTTCAGTTCCTTTATCCATAATTGATTTATTTTATGATTATTTAGGAATGGTCATCTGCCTTCTGTAACTCTTTTAATCAATCATAGTGCTAATCCATGTCTCCGGGATTCTCAAGGTTTTGATTGTTTACACCTCGCCGTACATTCTTCTAATCCTATGTTAGTGTTATACTTTATATGTCTGGATATGGCCATTGATACTCAAGACTCTTCACAGCACACTCCTTTGATGTGGGCCGCTTATCAATGTGATTCATTAATTGTAGATATACTTATTCGATTTGGTGCTTCTCTAACCAAAGTTAATAATACGCAGCTTACGCCCCTACATTTTGCTGCAATGAAATCTGATAAAATGTGTTTGAGAAAATTAATGGAGGCTGGTGCAAGTATTAATGCAAAGGATGAGAATGGGAAAACGCCCTTGGATATTGTTAAAGAAGTGAAGGCTATTGATAAATGGAACAAAGCAATAAATGAAACTGGTCTTAAAAATGATGGGAAAAGGAATCCTTACTTATTTGAAAAGGTATTAATTATATTATATCTTATATTTAAAAACGTTCCATTTTAATAATTTCTTCAATTTATTTATCATTTCAATTTATATTTTATTAAAACCAGAAAATTACCCTCATTATATTATATCTGATTCCGTTTGTTTTACTTTTTATTGCCCTTCAAACCTTGGCTCATTATCCTTGGTTTATTGGATTACCTCTGGTTATTTTGGAATATATAATATGCCACCTAATAGTTACAAAAGTTATTATAAGAGCACAGTTAACTATTGCATTTATGAGAACTCCTTATTTAACGAGTATATTTCAAGCAAGTGCTTTTTGGGTTGGCGCTACATGGATTTATAAACTTTTCTTTGGTATTTTTAAATGCTATTTACAATGTCTTTGATTTTTTTTAAAAAAAATATTCCCATTCTCATTCTCATTATAAATTTTTAAAATTTTATTCAAAATTAGCAACCTCATTTTTATATTCGGCAAATTTAATTTTTTTCACAACATATGCTATATCAATGTATTCATTTTACGTTACAGTACTGGCCGATCCAGGATTTATTCCAAAATTAAATTCACGTGAAGAACAAAAACGGGTATTTTATGTGAAATAATTAAATTTCATTAATTAATTTACATTCTTTATCTAACTTTTTAATTTATCGCTAGCTCAGCTGGTAATAGACCTTGCAAATAAAGGAATGCTGGACGGCAGACATTTATGTACAACGTGCTTGGTATGCTTTATTTTTTTTTTCATATTTCATCAAAATTATATAATACTTAAATTTTTTTTCAATTTTATCTTAGATCAAAAAACCTCTTAGGTCAAAACATTGCAAAGTATGCGATAGATGCATAGCCCGTTTTGATCAGTATGTATTATTATTTTGTTTTAATTTAAAAATAAAATAAAATAATTTCATCGTTAACTATTCGTTAATTATATATTCGTTAATTATATTCGTTAATTATATATTCGCTAATTATCTATTGAACTATTATTTTAATCTCATATTCTTTTTCTTTTTTTTACACTATTAGTCATTGTCCGTGGATATACAATTGCATTGGAGTAAAAAGTCACCGCATTTTTATGGTGTTTCTACCATTGATGATCACGTGCATTTTAAGTTTTGAATATATCAGCTATAAATGTATAATTATTTTTAATTCTATATCTTTTACTTTGTAGAAATAACAAATTTCATATACCTTAACTCCATTTCTATTTAATAGACTTTGAAATATTCGCTCCTCCATATGAACCTATTGCATCTCAACCGTGTTTGTTGAGTGACTCCTTCTGTGGATACTTTCAATATGATGGATGGACTGCTGCCTTATGTGTCTGGAGTGCTTTACAACTTCCTTGGTTGATAACATTATTATGTTTTCAAACTTATCAAATTTCTTCGGCAAAAACTACAAATGAAGTTATGAATTTACATCGTTATTCATATTTTACAAACAAATCTCCTAATGCAACAAATAATGCAACAAATAATGGTTGTGCTAATATGAATAATATTGTCAAAAAACCAGATACCGCTCATCAACAGGAATGCGGTGAAAAATGTAAATGTAATCGTAAACATGGACATTTTTCAAGAATTTGTAGAGTATTTGAAGGTCATGATAATATTGTAAACCCATTTGATTTTGGTTGTTGGAATAATTGTTTAAGTTTTTGGTCAGAAGGAAATTTTGGAAAATTACAAAATGTTGATTGGTTTGAGATTTTTGATACGTTTTTTATTGAATCACGTGGTGATTTGAAATCAAATGGTTATACTGCTTTAAAAAGAGATGAAGAAATCGTTTAAAAAAATATTAAGTTTTATATTTATCGATATTAGAGTAGGGGTATAGGGTAGGGCTAGTAAATTATAGTACGTATTAGGTTTCATTTCCTTATTATTACTTATTTTTTTTTCTAAAAAAAAAAAAATCAAAACAAACATTTGATTGTATTCATATTTGGATATCCTAATTTAATTAGTTTTTTGAAAAAACATTTTTTATCTTATAGTAAAAATTAGAAATAAAATTTGTTTAAATCATTTATTATTTTTAATTTTGATTGTCAATATAAAATTCGAATTTATCTTGAGCATGGCTTAATTTCGTTTTGATTGAATGTGATTGGACGGTATATCGCATATTATAATAATCGTCATTTGAGTGATGGTCAAGGAAAACCTGTAAATCATACTTTTATACTTTTAATAAAAAATATTTTAAAATCATGTAACTAATAATTATTATTTTTAATATCATTTGAATCTCATTAATGAGATAATTCAATAACCATGAAACCTTCAATTTTTGGTAATATGACAAGTACACAATTGCTCGTACAACAAGGTTTTTTTTTTTTTTTTACTAAAATGCATTACTGGCTCTAATATACCTTTTAAAACTTTAAGATATCTATAGATCAAATAGGTTAAAGTATTTTTTACTTATACTTAAAAAGTAAGAAATTTATGAATTTTACATAGTTATTTTGATTTTTACAAGATAACAATTTTCTCAAATTTTCACATTATTAAGGAGGTTTTTTTTTTTTTAGTGTGACTTACAAACTTTAAAAAACAGCATAGATCGAACAAGTTGGAATATAGTTGGTGATAAAATTATTGAATTACAGCATTACGGTATTTTACCAGATGGTAGAATTAATTACAGTACAGCAAGGACACAGAAATTATGTGATTTGATGTGATCAAATAAAATCACACTAAATCACATAATTTTATCTCACTTATATTACGTTGTATCACATGTATTCATATTAAATTTTTATCACTGCAATATGTCAAAATATATATATAATATGGTAGTAGTATATTAAATTAGTACTGAATAAATAAAATATTTTTTCAAATTCGAAAGAAAATTTTATCATTAATATGGGTCCAAAAAGAGTCTCGTTAAATAGTAGAGCATCTGAATTTAATGATGATTTTATTAAAGATGAAAACCAACTTATGTGTAGGTTTTGCCATCATAGTGTTTGCTATAAAGTTCAATCAGTAATAGCAACACATCTTGAAAGTAAGGGTCATAAACAAAAAAAAGCTGCTGCAGAACATGTAAATATTCAAACACAACAATTAACACTTCCAACAGCAATTCAAGCTGCCGAATCCAGAAAGAATATAGTTATGTCATTTGTAAAAACATTAGTAGAAGCAAATATTCCACTTGAAAAGGCTAATAAACTACAGCCCTGGATTAGAAAAAATGTCTGTGAAGGAGGATCAATATCTGCTGCAAATATATTACGAAGAGAATATTTACCTATTGTTTTTGATCAAAGCATTACAGAACTTAAAAGTTTTTTCAAAATAAAAAAGTATCAATAATTATAGATAAGACATCAGATTCTTGTACTTGTAGTGTCATAAATATTCTTTTTTCTTATCATGGTATTACTAAATTAATTGAAGTAGGTTTTTTAGACCAAGTTAATAATAGAACTATTGATGAATTAATTATTCAAATATTAGTTAAATGGTCTATTCCTTTTGAATATCCTTGTCTTATTGCTTCTGATTCAGCTGCATATATGAAAAAATATCATCATGAAGTTTTAAAACCACTTTTACCACAATTGATTCATAGTTCTTGTTTGGCACATATCATGAATTTAATTGGTAAGGCATGGATTTCTGTAGATTATTTTAATAGTGTTAGAACATTACTTAGCCAAATTAAGCAAATATTTATTTTAAAAACATGTCGAAATTATTATACTTATCATCTTCAATGTAATGGAATTCTTGTACCAAGAAAAATTCCATTCTCAACTGAAACTCATTGGAATTCCTAGTATCAGATAGCTTTTTATGTTAATAAGCATTTAGATTATATTCATACCTTTTATCAACAAGAAGAAATAGAAAATTCATCTGCAGCTATTAAGAAGATCATAACTATATTTGAAAATATTCAAATAAACAGCCTTGTTAAGATCTATTTACGGCTTATTATAATAAATGCACAGATTCTTGTTTCAACACTGAATTTTTTTCAAATAGAAAAAAAACTAGTATTTCCTCTTATCGAAGCCTGTTTATACCAACTTAGTCAATTTTTAATTGACAACAAGAATTCGATCAATTTTGGAACTAAGATAAATATTTTAATTATATCGCTTAATTTTCAACCTGATGCTTTTATTCCAATTTTTCAAAGTGCATTTTATAAAGCTTACCAAAAATATGAAACTCATATTACAAATTATCTAGTCTATTCTCTTTTTAAAGATTCTCAACTTTTTGATCCTCGATTTATTCATCTTACTATAGCAAATCAAAATATATTATTTTATAAATCTATTCCTGAGTTATCAAATCTGTCAACTAGTTTAATTCAAGAGTGGAGTATATATGTTAATTTAGATTTAGTAAAAATACAATTTAAAAGTATCTTTCACAACTTTTTCCGACGATCACCTGGACCAAGTTGGCACCGAATGTAGATTGAAGACTCTGGCTCCAAAGTAGATAATATTCTTAGTTTTACATTAAGTAAACTTGCTGTCGACAAAGCTCAAGTATGTGATACACCGAGGAGCAGGTGAAACTTGAGTGGTTCTTGCCTTGGGTTAAGCTTTTGTCTGGTGGACTCCCTCGCATATTCGGCATCCAAACTGGAAGGATATTCTAGAAGCAAGTAGAGACAAAATCAGTTCTCTGGTTAAGAATATTAGAAGCAGAAAAAAAAGAAGAACAACTAGAAAAACTCTTTGACTTGGACCCTTGCAACAACAATATACCTCCTTCTCGTCTTTTTTTTGTTTTCTTTTTTCGAAAAAGTGGGGATTTGGCTCACCCCCATCAAAAGATCGACACTGTGCATCACTCCCTTTTTCAGTTATATGCTTGTTTGGACATGGCAAATAAGGAACACAACAAACACGTGAGTCGACCAATCATGTGGAGCAGATCAGAAAAGGATTTAATTCAGAAAGACCAAAAATATATTGAGATATGCATATATTCTGAGGCCATGTGCATAATATTTTTTTAAAAAAAGGGTTACAGGGGTTTATAAAGAATTGGACCGCTTAAGTGCACTCCAAATCTTGGCACAGTACTCCACCTATTTGAAGATTTCTTCTATATGGAAAGTGCCTAGCTCGAACTCTGTCCTACAAGTGAATACAGTTTTCATTCTGATTAAGAGTACCTAGTTTCTAGAGAATAGTCATAGTTCATAAAAATATGAAAACATTGTAGTGAGCAGCAATCGTAGAATAGAGTTTTATTTTGTTAGCAGGTTTCTTCTTTTATTCTTCTTATAGATTAGTTTCATTTTCTTTTTGGTTAGTTTTATTTTACTCTCCATTTTCGTTCTTTCCTTTCCCAACTTTAAAATCTTTTTTTTTTTTTTTTGTTTTTCTCTTCCTTATGAAAAGATGTCTCCAGATTGGCAGTATCCTATTGTGGGGTGGAGATCAGATAAGTCATAATTTCTAGTCCTAACTGGATTAGTGCGGCAGATTGCATTTAGGTACCATTTGGATGGCTAGATGATAGTAGACTTATAAATTAAATGATATTCTGTATTTACATATGTAGCTACAAATGGTTTAATAAAGTACTACCATGACTGCTTAAGGGAAAAAAAAAAATAATCTATAAAATTGGTATAAATTTTTTTTTGTTATTTTTATTTTATATTTTAGTCTTCTTTTTAAAACTTTTTTAAAAAATATTATTATTATAAAATTAAATAAGTAAATTTCTTGAAAAATCAACTAGGTTAACTAAATTAATAAAATTAACTAAAGTAAATTAACTATAAATATTATTTTAAAATTAAAATAATTAGCATACAACTCTTTTTAATAATTCTCTGTACCAACTTTTTTTATATATACCAACCTATAAATATTATATAGTTAGTATATTTATACTTAACAAAGCTTTGCTATATAGTATTTGGGTTCAAAAGTTTCAAATTACATGTGAGCAATATGAAAAAAAAGTTAAAAAGAACAGCTTTTTGTAGGTTTAGCTCTTTGATAGAAGTTTATAGAGTTATTAAAAAAGTAACTTTGGTTATAATTAAGAAAGTATTTGTCAAGCTATATCTAAACAATAGTAAAGATAAAAATCTAATTAAATATGTTATTTTATATAATGTAAACTTCTATAGTTATTACAGTTAGTGTTTTAAAAAATTTTCTGTTTTTTTTTTTAAGAAATTTTTATTAAAAAGTAGACAATCTGATTTACTTTTATTGAAATCAGCATTTTTAATTCTTTTAAATCAGTATTGTTTATTAGTTTTATTTTTGAAAAAGTCTGTATTGTAGATAAAGTATAAGTATATATATCTTAAAAAAAAACATAATGATGACACAAAATTGAAGATTTTTAACAAAAAATAAAATGATTGGTTAAAAATATAATAAGTGTCAAAATATAAGATCTGATAAACAGTATAATAAGTTGTATATAAAGATGAATCTAGTAACAAGAAATTGGAACATTTAATATATAGAAAATTTTTTGTTAGTTTAGTTTTAGTTGAATTGTTTTTTTAAAAATATAAGTTTTAATATTAAATATATTAATTAAATAGAGATAAAGTAGAGATTACTGTATTTAGTAATATATAATTTTTAATAGGCCAATACAGTTTTTACAATTTGTAACTATTTGTCTAACCTTGCATCAATATTTCTCTTTTCTTTTATTTCTTGATATTTATTTTTTTTTATATATTTTTTTTCTCTATATATTTTTTTTAGTATATTTTTTTTTTCAACAAAAAGTTTTTTACCTTTTTATAAACAAATAGGTGCTATTCAATTGTAAGGCAGCAGGCAAACAAGCTTAATTCAAACTTTAACAAGTCTGGTATAACAGGTTGCTTATAGGTACTAATTAAGATAACCATATAATAATAGCATAAAAGTTAAATAAAGTTATATTTGTATATTGTTTGTACTAAACTGTTATAAATAAACTTCTAACTAGTAACCATCATAACTGCTAAAGGTAAAAAAAAAAAAGTAATAAAAAAAAATTAAAATAATAGAATTAAACCTAATAGCTTAATAGTAAATTTGCTAACTTCTTATATACTAGATCAATAATTCAAGTTAACTAAAGCCAAAAATCTTAAGATTTTAATTCTGTAACTTAATATAAAAGCTAAATTAAATATAAAATTCTGTAAAAAGTTCTGAACTTAAGTACAAAAATAAATTAGAAATTTTTAAAAAAAAATTAACTTTATTAAAAAAAAATATATATATAACAGCAATATTATAAAAAATTTGACTATATAACAATATTACATAAGTAAGTACCTAGAAAATAGAATAACATTAATATTTCTGTATCTAACTTATAGAATACTTGATTAGAAAGGTAATATTGGGTAATTATAACTGAAATAGTAAATAATACAATATATATAAAAAAAATTATATAAAAGATTGATTTAACTAAAATTGAAATATTTTAAGCAAATATTTTTAAAATACTTGACAAATATTTCTTAAACAGCTATACATTACAATTTAATTAATAGGTGTCATATCTATATGCAATAAGTCAAGATTTTAAACCTTTTTGCAATACCAAGCTGATAATATATCAATATATAATAAGTGGTACACCTATAAAAAAACCTGTAAGAAACATATGTAATTAAGACACAGACCAAATCAACTATGAAAATACAACTAAAAAAAGTACATAGTAAATTACTAATAACTAATACAAATCTTGATAAGTTTAGCTATATCAACAGAATACTAAAAAACATATAAGACTATATATACTAAATTGATAACAAAAAGAACAAGAAATCATTAGAATTAATCAATTTAGAAGAAAAAAGAATTACTATAAACAGTAAATAAGTGAACTGCTGTTAGGCTAAAAGTAAAAAAAAATTCAAGTATAACAAAATAATCTACAACCTTTTTGGTAGTTTAGTAATGATGATTAAAATATATAATAAAGACTGAAATAAAAAAGTATATAATAAAATGTAGATATAATATCACAATAGGTAACTAGAAATAGTAACACAAATGTAATGTAACTAATATGTAATAGTAATGTAAAAAGCTAATAAAGTACTGTTATGATTTGACATTATAAAAAAAAAAATTAAAATAATTCTTAATTTTAATAAGAAACTTAAAATGCTAAAAAATAAAACCTTATAATATAAAAATAATATTACACCTTCTTTTCACTAAATAAAGATCAGAAAACACTTTTATTGTTTATATATATAAATGTAATACGTAGTGATCATCCCTAACATGTCATTAACTGGTGGTATATTTTAGTAAGGTCGAAATAATTAACATTTTTTATATTTGAAATTTCAATCGTTTTGTAAACAATATTTAAATTATTTAATATTCCAGGTAGGATTAAAAGATTAATAAAGCATTCTTACAAAGTACATTAATTTAGTGCTCTTTATTTTTTTAATCAAAAGTTATTACATTGAAGATTTAAAAACATCAGTATAGTGTTCTTGCAAAACACAT